AGAGAGAGAGATTATAAATGGTGATATGGAAGGAGAGTGGGGTGGAGCAAGGGAGAGAGAGAGTCGTACGTACTTTAAACCTAGTTATCCCCTTAATCATATGATATAAACTGTTTTAGAGGAGGGTGGGATAGAGAGCGAGAATAAGAGAGATGGGGGGAGAGATTGAGAGCGAGAGATGGAAAGAGATAAAGGGGGGGAGAGAGAGAGAGTGATAGAGATAGATAGATAGAGAATGATTGGGAGGAAAAGATGGATTGATAGAGGGATGGAGAGGATAAAGATAAAGAAGGGAGGGAGAAATTGAGTTAATGCTTTTAAGAAAATGCAGATGGAGAGAGAGAAAAGGAAAGAGAGAGGGGGGGACGAGAGAGGGGGGGACGAGAGAGAGAAAGATAACAGGATAGAGAGTTAAATCTTTAAAGTACATATAGTTGGTTGTTATTATATCCTTAGTTTGTTTCTTTTGTGTTCCAATTTTTTAAAAAAATCTGAAACACTTCATACTTTAAAATGTATGATATATACAATTTAGAACAAAAGAGGAAGGGAGATAGTTGAAGAGAAAGATTGAAAGAGATAGAGGGAGAGAGAGAATGATAGGCAGGGACATAGGGGGAGAGAGAGTTAAAGTTTTCAGATACATGTATTTGATTGATATAATAGACTAAAGTAAACTAGAAGAATATGAAATCTCAAAGAACAAATAAGACGAAAGCGATGAAGAAGAAGAAAAAGTAGATAGGAAGATGATGGGGAGAAGATGTTGAAAACACAAATAAAAAGAAGGTGTGACAAATAAAACCTGAAAAATAAGAAGTAGGAGAAGACATAGAAAATAAAGATGAGAAAGAAGACAAAAAATTGAAGAATAAATAAAAATAAAAGGAAACAAAGAGTAAAAGGAGAAATAAAGGTGGAAGAAGATGAAAAAAATTAAGGAAAAGACGACAAAGAAAAAACCAAAAAGTAAACCAGAGAAAAATAAAGAAGATGAAAAACGATTATATGGAACTCGTGTTTGTCTTAGTTTAGTTTATTACTATTTGATTTATTTTTATCATGTATGTCTCAAATAGTTGTTTATATTTTAATTAGTTTACAACATAATATTTTATTTTATATTTTTGAATAATAAAGTTTTTAAGTGCTCTTACGATTTGTTTTAAACTATTTGCTCTGTTTTAAAATTTCTTAGAAATCATGTGGTTTTTCTTGTAAGATATATGCATTATTCTCACCAAATTAAACATTTATAACCAACCAAACTTATAACTACACATTTATACAATTACGAAAAGTGTTAAAAAATATTGGATATATTGCAATATCTGCTGATCTTAAACTCTATAATCATGATCAAAAAGCCTTTGAAAATGAATTTTATATATACATTTATAAGAAAAAAGTATTCTATAATGACTTTAATACTACATAATCAATTCGACAAGATTTTGAAATCTTGCGGCCCGCGCAGGACGCGGACAAACCACCTACTACCAAATATAATCGAATAAATACTTATAAAACTTTGTTTAAGAGAACTTTTTCTATTGATGCTTAGAAAACTTATCTCAAAAACTAAACACAATAACTTCTATCTCTCATGTCTCTTATGCGACTTCATAAAAATCCTATATATAGAGGTAGCACAACTTGCTAAACACTTTTCTTTTTTCTATTAGACTTAGATAACTCCTAAACTAATAAGGAAATATTCCCTTCTTATCTCTAACTGACTTGTTAAAGACTTCTTGGGCCTTATGTAACCAAAACTTATCCAACATCTTCTTTTTACTGAAGCTCTGACTAATCGTCTTAACCAGACCGAGGCTACAGGGTTAATTAATGGCATAGAATTCTCAAATGAAAGACCATCGATTCATCATCTGTTGTTTGCAGATGACAGTCTCTTTATTTGCAAGGTGGAAGATGTTCATTGCAAGACTGTTAACCGTATTCTTCAAGTCTATGGAGATGCATCAGGACAAGACATAAACCTCTCCAAATCCTGGTTTATGTTTGGTGATCATATTGATGAAAATCTGAGAGCTATGGCCAAAGAAGAATTGAGCATCTTGAATGAAGGAGGCGCTGACACTTATCTTGGACTGCCTGAATGCTTGAGTGGTTCTAAGATTGACTTACTGGATTACATCCAAGACAACATGTTATTTTTAATGCACATAAGATGCTGCTACAAACCTGATCAAAAAAACAAAATCTACTAAGAAAAATCTTTTATAATTTTTTTTTTGGTCGAAGAAAAACCATATATAATTAAGAAAGAAAAGTACAACACGCATTTATTTTTCCTCATGAGTATATAATTTAATTGGGATATTTGAGACGATGCAGTTCATTATTGAATAAGTAAAAATATGTAGCTTAATTCGGATATTTAAAGCAAGATTTGGTAATTTTTCCTTTACAATATCTGCTTTTGTTTTCTAATTTTGAATTTAAAGAGATTTTGTATATTAAAGTTTAGACTTATTTTAGTAATGTTCTCAACAAAATTTTACAAATTTCGGGGCATTACAGGTAGTATCGGAGCATCGTTTTATGAAACTGTGGTGCTAAAAGACGTTTTCAGCTGTTTTGAAAGGAAAATAGGTTTAAGACTAAATTTTGATCTTTATGAAAATGGTTTACGAGGTCGTGAATTTTACAATGGGAACGCCGGTCTCGCATTAGGACTTATGGCATATGAGTTTGGCAGTTATTAGATTCTGCAAAAGTAAGAGCTTGAGTATGAATTTTGTGAAGACTAATTATTCAAATCGGTGGAACGATCGAGCTAGGTTGCTATAAAATTTAGAATCTGGGAGGAGAAAATTATGCAAATAAAAGGGGTGCTACGGAATGGCACTGTACTGATATCATTATACGGTTTATACCTATACAAAGGGTTTATGATGTTTGCAAATCCTTTACAAAAACAAAAAAAAAGGGTTTATTGTTGAAAAACTGATGATTATCCACCTAATACTTCTACATACAGTAAATATTGTTGTTACCTACCTTTATATTGAGTTAGTTGTTACAACTCTCTAAACAGTATAAATAGCCATGTAAGATTGTGAAAGATGGTGTTAATTGAAAAAACTCTTCCTTCAGACCTCGTCCTTCCTCCACTCGATCTCTCTCCACTTTACATATAAAACATACACATATATATTAAGTAAATCTTATCTATATATAATAATATTTATAAAGTTTAAGTTTCTATTACGTTATCAGCACGAGCGCCTCTCGATCCGTTTTTATACCAAAAGAGGTAAGATTTAAGATTATGTTCTATCTATTTCAAGTTTATATATTATTTCGGGAGGATAAACTCTACCGTCCCTGAATCGTTGATTTAAATTTATGTTCAATTTATTTTTAAAGTTTACGGGATGATAGGCTCTGCCTTCTTCGAACCAATCGTTAAGATAGGCTATGCCTTCACTATCATATGATCATATGGTAGACTATGTCTCCTCAGATCATATATATGGAGTGGAAGGTTATATCTTCTCCTTGCTTATATAGAGAGTGAAAGGTTATGCCTCCTCCTTTTAAATTATGGTAGGCTCTACCTCCTCAATTATATAGAAGGTTCTGCCTTTATATTGCCTAAGTATATATTTTTATTATATATGTATATTCAAAAGTTTTTACCATGTTTTTTAAAAACAAAAATTTAAATTAAATTCCCGCTAAATTTATGATATACATAAATTTAAATTTATTGCTAAATTTATGTTATCATGTCAAATTTGGCGAAGCTTGAAATCCCTGGCCTTGATGTGTCTGGAAAAAAATTACATGTCATGGGCAGTAGGTGCAAAAATGCATCTAAGAGGAAACGGACTTCTTGATACCATCGATAAGTCGGAAACGACATCAGATGAGAAAGGCGAAAGCCATGATATTATTGCTTCACCACATCGATAATAGTTTAAAAGAGGAATACAACACGAAAGAAGATCCTACAGATCTTTGGCAATCTCTCAAAGATAAGTTTGATCACCAGAAATATGTGATCTTACCGAAAGCCAAACATGAGTGGTTAAACTTCCGGTTCCAGGATTACAAAAGTGTTGGTGAATATACTTCTGCTATGTTCGGAATTACTTCCAGGATGGTGTTATGTGGACAGGAGGTAAGTGATTTCGATATGATCGAAAAAACTTTCCAAACATTTCATCCTGGAAATGTTATCCTGCAACAACAATACCGGGCAAAAGGTTACACCACTTACTCGGAGTTGATGCAAGTCCTCCTTGTGGCTGAACAAAATAATCAGCTCGTGATGTTAAACCATCAAACTGGTTCAACTGGATCATCGCCATTCCCAGAAGCGAATGTTGCGTCATCCAGTCAAAATAATAGGACTGAACACGGGCGCGGTCGAGGCCGTTACCGCGGCGGTCACGGACGAGGTCGTGGAGGAGGAAGAAAAAATGATGTTGGTAGGGAAGCAGGAAAGCAAAAAGAAACTGCTTGTTACAGATGCGGCATGAAAAATCATTGAGCAAAGACCTGTCATACCCCAAGATATTTAACCGATCTGTACCGAGCATCACAAGATGTCAAAGAAAAGGATAAAGGAAAGAATTTTGAAACCAATTTCATCTCTGATGAAGCTGGATCTTCCTTTGATGGCATAAGTGATTATACTCATCTTGATATCGCTGATTTCCTTGTTGATCCTGAAGAATCAACGGAACCAAAGCGATTAATATCAGTGTAATATAAAGTCTTCTTGAAGAAGACAAGAAAAACCAATGTATTTTTAAATAAAAATGTAATATATTTTGTGTAACAAGAAAAGGTTTTTCTTAATATTAAATAGTTTCTAAAATCATGTTTTGGTTTATTAATACATTTTCTTGCATATTGTGATTCAGAACATGTCATCGTTTGAGATTCAGGATGGAGATATATGTCTAGCAGACAGTGCTACGACACATACTATACTTAAAGATAAAAAGTATTTCTCCTATCTCAAAATAAAGGACTCCGCCGGAAGCGTGAGTACCATATCTGGTAATGCAAATATTATAATAGGCTCCGGAAGAGCTTATTTTTCAATGCCAAGGGGGACAAAGTTTGAAATAAGCGATGCATTATATTCCCCCAAATCTAGTAGAAACTTGCTAAGTTTTAAAGATATCCGAGGAAATGGATATCATATAGTAAGTACAAATAAGAATGGCATTGAATATCTTTGCATTACATCTAAGAGGAAACATGTATTGGAAGAATTACCAATGATGTCCTCTGGGTTATATTGCACAAAAATAAATATGATTGAATCCTATGTTACAGTAAACCCGAGGTTTACTAGTACATTTAGAGTATGGCATGAAAGATTTGACCATCCTGGATCAATCATGATGAGAAGGATTGTGCAAAATTCGAGTGGCCACCCATTGAAAAACGAGAAGATTTTTCAATCGGAAGAGTTTTCATGTCAGGCATGTTCTCAAGGAAAATTCATAACTAGGCTCTCGCCAGCCAAAATTGGGAATGAATCCCATGTATTCTTAGAGAGAATACATGGTGATATATGTGGGCCGATTCACCCACCATGCGGGCAATTTAGATATTTAATGGTATTAATTGACGCATCTAATAGATGGTCACATGTGTGTCTATTGACCACAAGAAATATGGCTTTCGCAAGAATTCATTGCCCAAATAATCAGGTTGAGAGCGCAATTCCCTGATTAAGCCATAAAGAAAGTAAAGCTTGATAACGCTGGTGAATTCACTTCAGCGGCTTTTAATGACTATTGTATGTCATTAGGAATGGATGTTGAGCATCAGGTTCCACATGTTCATACACAAAATGGCATGGCTAAGTCTTTAATAAAACGGTTGCAGTTGATTTCAAGACCGTTAATATTGAGAACAAAACTCCCAATTACTGTATGGGGACATGCTATATTACATGTTGGGGCATTGGTCCAGATGAGGCCAAGTGCATATAATGAATATTCTCCGATATATTTAACATCTGACAAGGAGCCAAATGTATCCCATCTCCGTATTTTTGGATGTGCGGTCTATGTCCCGATAGCCCCACCGCAAAGAACAAAAATGGGGCTACAAAGGAGATTGGGAATATATATCGGCTATACGTCACCAAGTATAATTAGATATCTTGAACCGGTAACTGGAGATATGTTTACGGCACGTTTTGCCGATTGCCACTTTGATGAGAATGAATTCCCAGCGTTGGGGGGAGGATCAAGAGAATCCCCAAATGATATCACATTGTGTACACAAACCTTGGCTTATCTTGATCCCCCTACCCATCAACGCGAGGCGGAAGTTCAGAAAATTATACATTTTCAAAGCTTGGCAAACCAGTTACCTGATACGTTCACAGATACGAGAAGAGTGACGAAATCATATATCCCCGCTGCTAACGCTCCATCAAAAATAAATGTTCCGGAACATGTTATTGATGGGAATAAAGCAAATGAACTGTGGGTTCAATTAAAGCGTGGGAGACCGATGGGCTCGAAAGATAAAAATCCTTGAAAGAAAAAGAAATTGGGAGACAAGGTTCCAGAAGAACCGAATAAAGAAAAATGTCTTGAAGACATTGGTGAAAAGGTTCTAGAAGAACCATATAGAGATATATGTCTTGAAGACATACATGAAGAGGTTCCAGAATAACCAGTTAAAGAAGTTCGTCCAGAAGACGAACATGATACTGAAAACTATGAGATTTCCATTAACTTCGCCTAAAGTGGGACATTTGGGCTAGAAGTGAGATAAATGATACAAATGGAGTGTTCTCATTTTCAGTATCTAAAGAAATTGATAATGAAAATGATGATCCAGACCTAAGGTCCGTGTCAGAGTGCCAGAAAAGGCCTGACTGGGAGAAATGGCAGATGGCTATGAGAAATGAATTAATTTCCCTGAATAAAAGAAATGTCTTTGGACTTATAGTCATTACACCAGAAGAGTAATGCCAGTCAGGTGCAAATGGGTCTTTGTGAGAAAAAGAAATGAGAAAAACAAGATCACAAGATATAAAGCCCGACTTGTGGCACAATGTTTTTCTCAAAGACTAGGAATTGATTATGAAGATACATATTCCCCGGTCATGGATGCAATCACATTCAGGTACTTAATGAGCCTAACGGCATCTAAAAATCTAGACATGTACCTTATGGATGTTGTGACTGCATATCTATACGGATCACTTGATATGACATATATATGAAAATCCCAGAGGGAGTAAAGATCCCAGAAGGATCAAAGATGCCTGAAGCATCTAAAAACATATGTTCGGTTAAATTACGACGATCACTTTACGGATTAAAATAGTCCGGATGCATGTGGTATAATCGCTTGATTGAATACTTGTTGAGTAAAAGATACATCAACAATGCGATATGCCCTTGTGTGTTTATTAAGAAATCCTCATCAGGATTTGTGATCATTGCTGTATATGTTGATAACGTGAACATAATCAGAACTCAAAAGGAGATTGATGAAGCAATAACTCACATGAAAGAGTTCGAAATGAAAGATCTTGGAAAGACAAAATTTTGTCTAGGGCTCCAGATTGAGCATTTCCAAAACGGAATATTTGTGCATCAATCAAATTACACCAAAAGGGTGTTAAAATGCTTTAAAAGGGATAAAGCAACTTCTTTAAGTACTCCAATGGTCAATATATCACTTGATATTAACAAGGATCCATTTCGACCTTGTGAAGATAGCGAAAACGTATTAGGTCCTGAAGTACCTTATATGAGCGCTATCGGTGGGCTTATATATCTTGCAAATTGTACTCGACCAGATATAGCTTTTGCTACTAATTTACTTGCAAGATACAGATCATCTCCTATGCGCAAGCATTGGAATGGGATAAAGCATATCATTTGTTATCTCCAAGATGCAGGATATTTATCAGATTCGCATAAAGCTCGATCGCAAACTGGATATGTTTTCACAATTGGTATAACAGCGATCTCGTGGCGTTCTCAAAAACAGACATTGGTCGCCACTTCTTCAAATTATGCAGAAATCATGCTCTCCATGAGGCATGTAGAGAATGCATATGGCTCCGATCTATGACTCAACATATTCAAGGTGCAAGTGGAATAGTCATTGATAAGGAACCAACAAAAGTGTTCGAAGATAATACTGCATGTGTCGCTCAACTCAAGGAATGTTTCATCAAGAGCGATCGAACAAAACATATTCCTCCAAGGTTTTTCTCTTACACTCAAGAACTCGAGAAGAATCAGAAAGTGGATATCCAATATGTTCGCTCGAGTGACAATGCAGCAGATCTCTTTACAAAGGCGCTTCCCACTACATCATTCAGAAAACATGTCTATAGTATTAGAATGCGCTGACTGCGAGATCTATGAAGGAAATCTATATTCATCACTTCCAGAGGGAGATTACGTTATTGTACTCTCTTTTTTTTGTCATGGTTTTTGTCCCACTAGATTTTTCCATGATAAGGTTTTTAACGAGGCAATACGTAATACATTATTAGTGATGGATAATCAAGAGGGAATGTTGAAAAACTGATGATTATCCACCTAATACTTCTAAAATAAAGTAAATATTGTTGTTACATACCCTTATATTATCCTTATATTGAGTTGTTGTTACCAACTCTCTAAACAGTATAAATAGCCATGCAAAAGATGGTGTTAATTGAAAAAACTCTTCCTTCAGACCTCGTCCTTCCTCCACTCGATCTCTCTCTCCACTTTACATATAAAACATACACATATATACACATATATATATTAAGTAAATCTTATCTATATATAATATTCATAAGGTTTAAATTTCTATTATTTATGATGTTAGACTAGGATTTCTTTTAACTTTGTCATTTTTGAATTTGACAAATAATTTCCTCATCAGACTACTTACAATAGTTAATTGAATATAAAAAAAATATTGAACACTTGCAATGGTAAGTTGAAAAAAAATGATATAGATTAAATTCGGAAACCCGCATTTTAAATCTTTACTAGATTTTATCCTGTGCATTCGCACGAGAAATTTATCAAATTTTGTAATGTAATTTATAACTTTTTGTAGATATAATTTTTTTAATAACTGATAAAGATTTATTTTTTTGTTTATGTATGTAATTTATATTTAAATTTTTCTGTTAGTATTATTATGACCGTGAACATAAAAACATAGTTATAACCCGATCATTCTAATAATCGAAGAAAGACAGTTATTATAAAAACATAATTCTAATTCATTCATTCTATTAATCCCAAAAGGACTGTGGTTATAAAAACATAATTTTTACCCATCTGTTCATATTACTATATAATAACATATTTACTAATTTTAAAATATTTTTAACTTAATATATTACATGTCTTTTAAAAAACCTAAAAGAACCTAACATGTTCCATCAAATTACCGTATAATATAAATATTTACCAATCTTCAATATGTAAAATTTTTGACTGATTGATTATGATTAAAAAAAACACAATAACATATTTGTTAATCATATGT